AAATTTAAATCATGTTTTTATTAAGTACTCGGTATCGGCGAGTACTCGTACTCGTTTCCAAAAAAGTGGTATCGGTGCATCCCTAACAGCAACATCAGGAAGAAGGAACACGAGAAGCTGGAGAAGTAACAAGGGCTCAGAGAAGAGCTCGAGAGGATGTGGAGGGTGAAGGTGACGGTGGTCCCCGTGGTAATCGGAGCACTCGGTGCAGTGACTCCCAAACTAGGCGAGTGGCTCCAGCAGATCCCGGGAACAACATCGGAGATCTCTGTCCAGAAGAGCGCCGTGCTAACAGGAACAGCTGACAGCTATGTGTGTGTGTTTGAGTAAAACAGCAGCTCCAGACTGTTCAAAAGGATTTGTTTAAAATGAATGAACAGCAGGAATCAGGATCAGTAGGTGAAGTCAAAATGAGCTAAGTCCATTTCTAGATGCCACAGAGCCACGTACAGCCAGAGCGATCACGCCTGCACCACCCACGACTCCGAGTGCTGCTTTCTCCACCTGCAGGAGGAAAAACGTCTTTTAGTTTTTCTGCAGGAACATTACGAGCAGATTATTGTCATCAGTCACCACTGAAAGTTTCAACAACTCTGAGATATCAGTAAAAACACATGAACACGTACACGAGCATTGTCAGCTGTTGTCATGCCGATCATTTTCATGGTGCATTACTATGATTATGGGAATTTCTATTTCTTTAAATTATTATGAATCAATAATTCTGGTCACCAGTCAGAAACTTTTTATTCAAAATTGCCAAAACAGCTGAAATCTGAGTGGCAGCTCCTCACAGCTCTGCTGGTTATCAGCTTATAACTGCAGTAAATCCATCTCTCTGTGTGCTTCACCCTCATGTGTCTAAATATTATAACTAACTGCCATCAGTGTCATGTATGATCTGGTTTATGTTGACAGAATATCACACACCGCAATGATTGTGTTATTGGTTTTGTCACTTGTCCTAATAATGAAATAAAAAGCTGCTTCTTCCATGAGCAGCAGACTAACATCGGTGCCTTTTTATTTCATTGTTTCACAGCAGCTCCATAAAGACGGTTTAACCCACCTGCAGTGATTCGGCCACACCGTACCGCAGCTCTTTGACAAAGTGCTCACAGTTAAATGAGACAAGGTTGTATCGCAGCTCTTTGCCCACCATTGCTTTAGCATCCTTCACAATAGCATTAGCTGGGCGTGGCTCATACTGGCTGTCCATGCTGTTGTTGATTTTCCAGTCGTCTTTTCCCACCACATCCCAGATCTTCTCCTTCCGCACAGTGCCGTTTGCAGTGTGGACAGAAGTGCCGCTGGAGACTCCAGCTTTCAGGACGACACAGAGGGAAATAAAAACGGCTTATAAAGAGTTTCTGAATGCAAACCTATTCATTTCTGGTAAGTGGGTCATTAACAGTCTAGTACAAACATATTGTTTGTGGTCTGAAAACTACACTGAATGAATGTGGGCTGTTAGATCAGCTGATATTTGGTAGCAGGTCAGGACTGAAACTTACAGTGATTTACAAAGTGAACAACAAAGCCAGCACCAACGTATACAGCCCAGTGCTCATAGTTGTCACGGAAGATCTCAATCAAGTCCCCGAGCTCTGGCTCCCTGTCGTCCTGGGATTAGAAAAAAAGAAAACAAATTAAATTCTGCAATTAAATAATTAAATTATTTTTAAAACCAGTCTCAGTAACATGTCACAGCCTTCATGTCTGACTGGTCTGACTTACCTGATCCCCTCCAGTATCTGCAAAAACAAAAAAAACATTTTAGTACAGATCATCAGAAAGAGAGAAAAGCTTTGCTTTTTATTTCTTTGGATTAATTGAACCATATTTTGGCAAAAAGTAGTTTCCTCTGTCTTTTTCAGAAATCAAAGTAAATTGTGGCAAATGAGAAATGACAACATCCTGAGAAAACTAAGAAACAGTTACAGACTCACAAGACGACGATGATGATCCCATGATGTCTCCGAACTTAGAAACAAACGATGGACTGAACTGTTTGATGAACCTGGTGAAACAAAGAACATTTTGAGTTTAACTGTAACACTTTTACACACATTCGCACACAAAAACACAGTTTAGGGCAGAGATAGCTCAGTACGTAGAGTGGTCGCACCATGATCGGAAGGTTGGGGGTTCGAATCCACTGAAAGGCTACTCTGAGGTACCTCTGAGCAAGGTACCGTCCCTACACACTGCTGCCCGGGTGCTACCTCGGTGGCTGCCCTCTGCTTCACTGAGTGAATGGGTCAGAGGACTAATTTGCCTACAGGGATTAATGAAGTATACATTACATTACACACACTTCATTAGCATCCCTGTCAGTGGAAACATCTCAAATGTCTGCTTCATCACACTGTGATTTAAGGACAAATTAATCAGTGTGGGCTTCATTTATTCAGCAGCTGAAATTCTGAAGTCAAAACTGATGCATTCAAGAATGAAACAGGAAGTTAATAATTCTAAAGTTTAAAAACAGGGAAAGAAAGTTTTCCCTCCCACAGAACAAAGTTTTCTCACTCAAGAACCACTGAGAGCAAAAAAGAAGACGAGTAGCTGATGAAGCTGGAGCGACATGCAGAGATGGAGATATGAGAATAAAATATTGGTGTCTGTTCCTGAACTCCACTAATGTCCACTATCAAAAAAGCTTATTAAGACTCAACGTAAATCTTTCTAAAAGCATTTATCATCACTTTAAAACTCCTGAAAATAAACACACGTTTACTGTGTTTTATAATAACTTTATGAGTTATCATGTTCCTGGTAATCTTTTATATTTAAGCAGCGAAATCTTATAACTTTGACTTGAAACTTGAAAGTTGGTGATCTGAAGTAAAACCAAATATTCACTGAAGCTGTTTGTGTGATGTGCAGAGAGAAGTCTGAGCTTCACTCACCTGCTGAAGTCAGTGCTGCAGAGAGAAGTGCTGTGAGTCCTCAGGGTGAAGCGCTATATATACACATGGACCAGCCCATCATCACAGTCAGTGTAAAAGTGAAATTAAAAGTTTGCAGCAGAACAAAACTGAAAGACATACCTGTGTACTTAATGTGTTTCTCATGTTTTCCTTATGAGCGACTCATGCAGCATCCACACAGTGAACCTTTATTTTTGTTATGCATCGTTGTTCACTTTGGTAAAACATACAAACACATCTTTTATCATCTTTTTTATTTCTAATGTGAATTTTAACTCACATTAATCCAACATTCCTTATTTTTAACTGCTGGACATTTGTGGGTGATTTTCATCTTTAAAGAAATTTTCCCATGTTTCAGTAATGGGATTTATATCAATGCTTATTTACTTCACCTGCTGTGAGTCTAGTTTATTGTGTTTGGTGATGTAAATGTTTGTATAGGTGGATGAAATACTGGTTTACTGTGGCCAAAGAACAGATATTGTTATAATGGTGACTGTGAACCATCAGATTCACTCTGGTGCTTCAGTTGTCATGTTCCTGAGGTTGTTCATGCCCTTTGTGACAGTGTATCAACATCTGCTGTTGGTCATCATTGGAAGTGGTTGATGAGTTTGTGTTGTTCGTAAATCCTGCAGTCAGAGCTGTAAACAAGCTTGTGTGCCTCTTTATTTTAATGCACAGTTAGAGCATTTAGGATCACACCCCTCCCAGACACCCACCAGGTCGGCGGGGCCAGCATCTATATTTGCTTTCAGTTTTGAAAAGGAAAAATGAAACTGGATACACAATCTGCTCTGCACGGTTTATTTTTGGACAGTGTCAGAGTCGCTGTAAAAGCATGTGATCATACAGCAGTTCACAGCACCCAAGTGGGGGGAAAACACAGTAAGAATAGTTTCACTTCCAGTTTTCCATGAGTGACGAGGACCCACTGAAAGGGAAAAGAAGGAAGAATGAAGTGCAGTGCCAGAAGTGAAGTTGTGTTTTAAAAGAATTCCAAACAATCTGAAGCAAAGTACAAATCACAGTTTGTCTTGATGCGTGCTCAATCATCAAGGTAAGGAAATCTCAAAAAGCTGATTCTGTTCAGAACAGATTTAACTTTTTGGGATTTCCTTACAGTGTAATTTGTTATTAATGCTGGATTATGTTTGATATGTTTATTGATTAGCATTCAAATATCTCAGTGAAGACAGAACAAAGATTTACCACAAAGCAAGAAAGCATGAGACAAGGCTAATCAAAAGGTATTGGCTGAAGCATTTGCTTATTAC